TGTCTCTGAAGTGTTTTCTTTTTTTCTTTTTTTTTTAAGGCACTGTAGCTTTAAGAGCATTGTGTTTGTTATTTAAGTGCTAAGCTGCATCTATTTTCTGTGTTAGTTTTTGATATTCAGTTTTGGGATCCTGATGGTAACACACACAAACCATGTTAGCTTGTGCTAATCCTCCCCCCCTGTGATATTTATCAACAATCTAAGGACGCTCTGTGCTTTTTACATAAATCAGAATCTGAAGTCACAGCTTAGCCACTCTTTATAACTCCTGTAGTTATTTTCTCAAATATAAAATCAGGTGTCTTCTAAGTTTTAGAATCAACATTAGGTATTTATTATCATGCCAGTTTTCAGCTGAGCCTATCCAGGCATGTTACCTCTGAACAAATGACTTCCTGTAGAAGCCTCTTTCATTCAGTACATGGCTGCCAGCTCTCAGACTATTGCATTTATTACATAAATAAACAGGAGGAAAAGTCAAAATTGCCTGCTTTGTTTTCCAACTGAAGCGCTCAAGTTCCCACAGTAGCCCCGATGTAACTTGTTACCTGGAGAGGGCCATATTCTTGCTTCTTTTTTCTCCTTCTTCTTTTTACTGCAACAGCCACCATCAAAGAATGGATTACAGTTTTTAGCTAGTTTTATGGTAAATGGATGTATAAAGTTTGGTTAAAAAGTCCTTGTGTTTGCAGGTTTGCTAGCAGTCCTTCAGCTGTCTGTCTCTGCTCTGCATCTGTAAGGTTCTTGTATTTCTGTGTGTTTAGTCTTGTAATGGCGATTCTAAGTAATCCTCACAGAAACCTGCTCTCCAAAAATTAAGCACATGTTTTCGTCTTCATGTGTGATTTCAACAAATAAATATTTAGGAGTTGATCTGCATTTCTTGCTCAGGACTAGCAAACTCACATCTCTCATAAATACAGTGGTCCCTCTCTTTGATGCGGTTCACCTTTCGCAGCCTTGCTGTTTTGTGGATATTTTTTTTGATATTTTCCATGGGGTTTGTTTTTTTTTTTGTACACAAGGTACTGTAGCCCCAGTGCATCCATCTGGGTCTGCGTGAATACAGATCCATTTACCAGGGACTAAACTAGCAAAACATATCTGACTGATAAACTTGATAGTGAAGTTACTAATATAACTTCAGTTAGCCAATATAACAAATGGCTGCTGTTGTGATGGTGAATGGTTATGTGTCACTCTGTGTTAGCCTGTTTTAAATTCATGAATAAAAATAAGAGGTTCAAAAATTGGGGTGGTAGGGCGGTTAGCACTGTTGCCTCACAGCAAGAAAGTCCTGAGTTCAATTCCATCATCAGGCCAGGGCCTTTCTGTGTGGAGTTTGCATGTTCTCTCTGTGTTGGCGTGAATTCTCTCCAGGTACTCCGGCTTCCTCACACAGTCCAAAGACATGCAGTTAGTGGGGTTAGGTTAATTGGTAACTCTAAATTGCCCATAAGTGTAAATATGAGAGCGTATGATTGTCTGTGTCTATGTGTAGATGACAGGGTGTGGTAGCATTAGCTAGCTGAGCCGAGGTTAAAGGTTTCTTCTTTTTCTTTGGTAATAAACTGGCACCAGATAAATGCTAAAATCTTGGGGTGTCACCAAAACGTGTCACCATGCTAAGTTTTCTTTCAAACAAATAATTTTTAAATTGGAATCTACATATCTCATTTCTGAGTGCGTAAATAAAGACTAGACTCTCTATAATTTATCCAGCTATTGAAATCCTGTAGTAAAACCAGTGTTTCCTCACAAATATGAAAGCTAAATTGGAAGATTTAGAAATTTAAAAAATTCAAATGCCTAATGGAATTTAATGAAAAATAAAACTTTCTCAATCAACTTACAAAAAGGTAACAAAAACAGTGTCGTAAATATCAGATAACTTGGATGTAGGTGAATATATCAGTGTTACGTGTTGTGACAGTGCAGGGTTCAAACAAATAACTGAGTACATTTGTACTTCCAAAGCAAAGGGGTTCCCTGAAGGCAGCAGTTTTCCCCAGATAGACGCGGCTCTCCATCACAACACACAAACTGCACAGGAGCATCTCATGATAATTTGAACCAGAGCCCAAGGCACTGGCACATTCTGCACATTTCCCACATCCCATCCAGTTGAGCACCCCAAAGGATTTTGTCCATGCCCACAGTCTTCCACTTGGGTGTTTGTGGCAATCCAAGCTTCTACTGCAGCACCCTGAGGTGTCTTTGGGAGAACACTCACATAAAATTATGTGAATGATCTGAACTGCGTTCTGGGCCATCTCTTGCGGACAGCTTTTTTTCTTTTCTTTTCTTTTTTTTTTGCCTCCATTGTCTTTTTTGTGTTTTTTGCTTTCTGGAAAATGGAAAAAATGAATCAAGCTGAAGGGTCACAGTTTTGATTTAACGTCTTAAAATGGTCCAGAAGTGTTTAGTAGATGGCCTTGAAGGAGAGATCAGTCATATTTTAATCAAGTAGGTTTTTTGTTTTTTATGTTATGGACCTGTCCTCAAAACAAACAGCTAGTATTTACGACTGATAAATGAAGGCCTTAATGGCACCACGCTGACTCATACCTCCCCTTTTAACTCGATAATCTGTATTCCAAATATTTGGCTATTTCTGCTTGGATACTCTTTTGTCAAGTGGCCTTTTATGGTGATAGAAAATCCTTCACCATTTCTTGCAGATGACCTAAAAGTCTGAAATTGAACAAAAAATGCTGAGATAAGGCAAGTGGAAGAAAAGGAAGTAACATAAAGAGAGCTGTTGTTCCTGTGCTCTGATTGCTTTGACACAGACGTGGCAAACCTCGTATTCTCCCCTTGTGGGAAAAGTAGCTGCTGTCAATACCAATGGCAGTGTTAAGTAGAGGCAATGTGTGTGAGCACGTTGGTATTCAGATGCAGTCATGAGCCTGGTTGCAGCCCAGATTCAGCCCCTTTTATCTTTCTGTCTCGGTCTGTTGATACGGTCAGGACTTGGCTGAATACTAATTACACTCAAATCTGCTCCGTGCAGATCCAGAAGCTTCTCATTGCTGTGTGTGTTTTATGTACACAGCACCACTTTGGTCCTTCTGACTAATGCCCCTCTTTAGGTAAAAGTTAGCTCATTAGTGAGTGTAAAGTACACAGAGCTGTCAGTGTTTCACTCATGCAGGATTTGTTTTACTTTTTTTTTCTTTTTTTTTTTTTTATATTAAACAACAATTAAAAAATGTTCTATTTTCTACTCTCAGATCTGCATGAAGTCACAGAGAGGCCATCATTTGGCCATTTCAGGCACACAGCTATGGCTCTGGGCACAGAAGACCCACCTACTTCCCATTTATAAGGGGCAGCCAATCAGACAAAACCTGCTTGCAATTGCAGATGCTGCATATTGTGTTCACAGCTCCCTGCCTGTGGGGGATGCTGTTCATTTTCTTCTGCATTTTATTAATATTGAAGTTTTTGGTGGCCGACGGCCATTGGTGTTAGACTGGAGATGGGATCTAACAAGACCGGCTTGCTTATTCCAATCAGACCTTTTTCTGTGTTGTTGTTGTGTGAACAGATGTTTACTGTCTAGAAGAGCTAGATTACTCATTTTGTACAAATCATAAATATCTTCTTTGAAAAAAGCAGTCCTTGTAGTTATAAAGATTTAGCCTTTTTGGTTAATAGCTTTCTTTTCTCCTGTTTAGGTGCTGATGTTACCCCTCAAAAGATCAATAATAGTCAAACTGGTCCTTCCTTGCAGGAATCATATTTGTGATGCTCTACGTTTTCCCCCCAGCCGCGTCGTAATATGGTTGACCCATGGTGCTGCACTGATATTGAGTCATTTTAAAATTACCGCAGATCATTTCAAACTGTATTTGTAATGTAACACTTACAAGAATAAAAGCATGATAGGTCACTGTCAGACAGACTTGGCAGATTCTCAGAAAATTGTGTTTATCTTCAGTTCGGCTCGCATGATTCTGACTAGTTCCTATTGCTTTGTCTGTATACAAAACACACAAACACACACTCTCACACACACCTGCTGTACCTGCTTGGTTATAAAAATGGCTGATAAAAGAGAAAAGTGGGTAATATGGTGGCGATTGTTCTCTGAATGACTGGAAACTTGTAGTATTTGGTACACACTAATATGGATACATGACGGTTTCTGTTCAGAAGGTTTTGAGCTTTTATAAAAATGACTGGATGTTCTAAATTCAGTGTTTCAAATGAAACAGGGCTAATTCTGTGATTTCCACCATCTACACTTTGAATTTACTTCATTGCAGAAACTCATATCATTGTTTATTACTTTTATTTTAAGCTTAAAGTACCTGTTATTTTTCACACTGCTCTTTATTGTGATGATGTTTCCTTTGGAAAAACAAACAAAAAAAACTAACTGGACACACTGAAAGCTCAAAGCCCCCCTGGGAGTCTGAGATGCATCTCAGTTAACAAAAGAAAGGGAGAACTGCTCTGCATCCAAATGTTCCTACAGGAAGAGGGTGGGGTGGTGGCATGACTTGAACCTGGAGTGTAGCAGATGTATGTGGAAGCACTGAGTGTTTGCGTGTTTGGATCAAATATGAAACGTGAGCGTGTTAAAGATTCCACAAAGCCTTTTGGTGCTAGTTTTGTTTTTTCTTCGTGGTGCTGCTTTTTCTCTTTCTTCTCTCAGACCTGGCGCTTCAGTCCAGCTCCGAGTATTTACCTCCCTTTCTTAGCAAATAACAAGTGTCTGCCAGAAATGGCTTTACAGGACATGAAGCCACCAGAGAGCTACAGAAGCCAGATAAACTGCAGATATTTTGCCAGATAATTTGGTTACTATGGCAACCAGGAGAATCTCCCCGCTTTCACTATGAACTGCTCTGAGCAGCTCTTTGCACAGGTTACCTTAAAAACCTTGTATTTTGATAGGTCAGAGGCTTTGACTGGAACAATGATCATGTGAGCTAAATGTCTAACAGTTGCCGTATGTGTGTGTGCGTGTGTGTGTGTGTTGCCCTCTACAGGTCCTACGTTGCCCAGACAGGGCCCCCAGGTTCAGAATGGTCCCACACCAGAGGAGATGGACCTGCAGAGGAGGTAAGGACTACTTTTCATGCTTAAAGTCTGTCATAATGCAGGGTCCAACACTAAGTAATGCATTACATATCATGTATTGAAATAAGTAATACATGATATTAATCGCTACCTGGCGAGTACTTCTTCACACTACTTGTTACATTACTTTTGTGTTACACTGTACCATGGCATGGAATATAATGGCACATAATTACCAGTAATGATATAAACCAGCGGTCCCCAACCCCGGTCCGTGAGTCGTTTGAAATTTATGATTTTTAGGGTTTTTATCATGATTTTTTTTTTTCGTTAACTCCCTTTTCCTGGGTCTTTTCCCTTGTGTTATGAGTAAATCTTTTGTTTTTTTGGTACTGGTACTGATTTTGTTGTATTTATCCGTGACACCTCAAGCCCAGTTCGTGAAAATATTGCCTGACATAAACCGGTACGTGGCGCAAAAAAGGTCGGGGACTGCTGATATAAGCCTAAAGCTTATATTCCCACATGCTGACACATGTCCCTGTCCTAATGAGGATGCACACAGGATCTTTGTCAACAAAGTTGTAAACCAGGTCCTATTCCTGCTGTAGGAACAGGACAGGTAGAAATGGATGCTACAACACTAACCACTGCTTTTGTTACCTGTTGAAGATCAGGCTTTGGCTGCTTTGCTGCTTCTAACTTTGTTTTAGCATGTTAGCATGCTGTCTGTGCAGATGCTTGTAAATAGAATTAATGTTGTGTTAGCAGAAGAAGACCGTTGTTTCTGGTCTGACCACACTTTACTGCACCAAACATAATTTTCCTTTCTCAACTCATCGCTTTACTACGTTCCTCCTCCCTGCACTCTAAATCCAGTAATCAGATTAGTTACTGCTACGTCTTCATTGTTGTTGGCTTTCGGCTGCTCCCTTCAGAGGGAGCCACAACAGATAATCTGCCTCCATCTCAACGTATCCCAGCAACCCTCTACATGTCCTCCTTCACTACATCCATCCTGTGGTCTTCCTGTTTTCCTCCTGATTGGCAGCTCCATCTGCGCCATCCTTTTGCCTATATTATCCAGACTCCCTCCTCCTGCACATGTCCAAACTATCTCACCTAGCCTCTCTAACAGTAGCTCCAAGTTTCTGAACCCGATCTGTCCCTCTGACATGCTCATTTCTAATTGTGTCCATCTTGTTCACACTCAGTAAAAATCCTAACATTTACACTTTGCCACTTTTAGTTTTCCTTCTTTCTCTTTGGTGAGGTCTCACTACCATCTGTCACAGATCACCTCTGACACCAATGTCCACTCTGCCTGCACTCTCTTCTTCTCCTCATACTGATCAAGCCATTATGTCGTTACTTTGTTACAGAAGTTATTGAATAATCTGTATGATTGATATTGAAGGACATACCATGCATTTTTATGCACACAGTGGTGATTATTTCATAAGTTAAGTTTGTAAGGCCCTGGTTAATGCCTAGAACAATGATAAAGCAAGGTGGGAATTAGAACAGACCTTCTTGTGATTGAGTCACTTCTGTTTGAGCGTGCAATGCGATGGCAAATCAAGAAAATAAAATAAGATTATTCATCAGTGGGTGAGGTCCATCTTTTAGATACAGTCTGTGGGAACAGTTTAAAGCCGAGGGCCAAATTTAAGTATAAACAAATGGTAAAATAGTAGCTATGCTCAGAGATTGGGCTGTATTATTGTTTTAAAATGATTAACGGCAGAGAATAACAATTGTCATCTTTATGTGCTTAGTGACACCAGCAAAGCTCAGCTGTAACATAAGGCCTCTGAATGCTGTGGATATACAGTCTTATGCGCGCATACACTCAAACAAAACCTTGTTTTTCTTCTCCATACAAGGCCACTTGTTCTTGAGGTAATATAGAAACCATGGAACAGCTACACACACAGTTACATGGATACACACCGGGCTGCATTAATGGAGCACAGCTGTTGGCTAAGGTTCAGAACCTGTTCAGCACTCTCACAGGCAGAGCAATTCTTGAGACGCCTTGGCTGTCTTAATAGTTTTGTCTTAATGCGCCACATGAGTCAACCAACAACACCTTATTACAACTACGTGGAGTTAACAGTGAAGTGAGAAATAAATAGGGGCATCAAAGTGAAATGTGTAACACTTGAAACATGATCAATCCAGGTGTTCAAGCACATTGCAAATGTGATGATTCTCCAAATAACCAAACTCCAATCCTGCTGAACACGTCATTATTTTAAAGTATTGTGTACTGCGAGACAGTGAAGGCATTGAGTAAATGTGGGTTTTGGCTGAACTGGGGTCTTTGTTTTGGGGTTTTGTTTTGTTTTTGTTTGTTTATTTGTTTGTTTGTTTGTTTTTTGGGGGGGGGGATTTCGTAATTTGATTAGAACGGTGTTGCATTTGTGCTTCTGGCATAGACTACTTAGACTGTTTACATGCACCTTTTTAACCGGCTGCCACAGCAAGTCCAGTAATGCTTAAGACAGATTTTTCCAACATACTGCAAAATCATCTTTGCATTCCTGCAAAATTCAAAGGGAACTTAGACTTGCAGACACATGCAAAATGCAATATTCTATATGGTGTTTTTGACATGGCCACCCACCAAACTTCTTCCCATAGTGGAAGGAAACATTAGATTACTTGTTTTAGTTTATCTCATTATTAGAAATAAATGGAAAAGTGCAGTGATTTCTGTGAAAGTGGGCCTCAGTACTTCTAATTGTGTTGGAGGGGAACTTGAATCTGGCAGCTGGCGTCCCCTCCATTTCTTCTTGCTTTTTTTCCTACTTCCCTATTGCTTTTCTCTTTTACCGTTTTGTCTCTGCCTGCTGTCATCGATCTCTTCCTTCTTACCTTCCCTTCCATGCTCTTGTTCCCAGTTCCAGTCACATTCCACACTTAGCAGCAGATGACAGACAGGCAGGAAGTGAAAACGTGACGGAGGTCATCTTGTGATACAGAGGCTACTGTCAAGCCCGTGGAAGAGTGTGCAAAGGATGTGTGGATCAAAGAGAACATAGGTTGAGAAAAGCGAGGGGGTCGGTGACGGGAGAAGAGGCGATGTGAGGAGAGTAGTGTAAAAATTAAATGCGCATTAGTACTAACCTTTCTGCTTTATTAAAAGAAACACAAACTCACTGCAAGCTTTGGACTCTTGAGTTTACAAATATTACTTTTTGAACAACAGATGGCTGTCTTACATCCCCTCATTACACCACTCTCTGTGATCCAGCTGGTTTTGTTGACTGTTTATTGGAACATCTGTGAAACGGTCATCATGGGATTTTAATTTGTAGGGTCAGTTTGTAGTGTTTGCTGATCTGACCAAACTGTCCAACACGTGAATTCAGTCTTGGCTGTGTTTACCTCCACTGTACATCCTGCCTACTTCAGCTAATCACTCGAAAGGTTTGTGGTTTTCATCTGACTGTAGACACACCCGTAGTTAATCCATGGCAATCTAAAAGCCATTTTTGAGCCTTTTAATTCTAAATTTTCTAAACTTCAGCGGGTAGCTTGTGTTGCTGTGGGATCAACTATGGCTCATATTCATAGCCAAGGCTCTACATCAGGAAGACTGATGTGGTTTCAGACAGTATTTTAGCAATGCTAGAGAGCTATGGCCACCTAAAATTAGGTAAAGTTAAGGACATGTGGTGTCATGGTGGTGTAGTGGTTGGCACTGTCACCTGACATTAATGCCAGAGGATGTTTGACTGATAAACTGTAGTTATCAAGTTGCAGCGCACTGATAACTGATGACTCTTGCAGCACTTGCGACCACTAGGGCTGCCACAAACGACTATTTAATAGTCGACTAGTCACAAATTATTTTTGCGATTAGTCAACTAATCGGATCATGCATGCATACAGCTTATTGCATCAGCGTGCATCTGCGCTTATATAACTATCATTAGCTTACAGCTTGAAGTGTTTAAGGTATGTGCTAACTAAAAATAAAGACAAGATGATAGTTTATTAAACTTTTAATGAATTTTGCAGATTGTCTCAGTGGACTTTAATAAACTCAGCTGTCTGCTCCTTGCTATCTAAAATATAACAGGACACTGGAGTAAATTCTCTACCATCTCACACTTTTGTTTAATCAGTTTTCTGTTTGACGTTTATTCAGCTATGTGAAAACTGTAACTTTAATCTCAGCCAAACAAATTTACTCAGGAACAAATAAAACACTGAAAAAAGCCAAACAACAACAGTTTTCAGTTATCTAAGTTATCTCGCAGGCTCTAGTGAGCCTTGAACCCTGTCTAGATGTCTCCGAAAACGTAGGAGCACTTTTACAAATATGTGATGTCTTGATAAACTGGGCAGATATTTGAAGTTTACACACCTACATTCTCGCCTGAAAATATGTTAAAAGTTTATTTTGTGACCCCAGAAAGAGTAATAAGATTAAAATTAAAACTAAGTAGCTGCCACCATTGTTGGAAACTGGAATTGGCTGAGCCGTGCTATGAATTCTGGGATAGGTTGGGCCACAAAGGATATGCCCGACCCATCCTTCAAATCTGGGAATTGCAGAAGTCTTCGAATTTGGAAAGCCTTCGTTGCGTCGCTGTAACGTAATCGGCCCTCAAATGTGGCCTCCGAAGGATGCGGCCCCTGAATTTGGACACAGCTATGATACTGGAGTTGCTTCTTCTTCTTCGGGGTTTAACGGCAGCTGGCATCCTTGTACATGGAGTGCTGCCATCTTCTGTTTCAATCCATTATTACACTCTTAAATCCTACTACTTATTCCTGCGTCTTTCAGGATCTCACGAGGCTTTAAACGACGTGTCGACTATTAAATTTGTCATTGACGTAATCGTGACTAGTCGACTAATCGTGGCAGCCCTAGCAACCAGGCTCTAACTTTATATCTTTGGTCTGTGGTCAGGAGTTGCTGTGTTTCTTAAACTTTTCCACTTTTTAATAAAACCACTTACACTTGATTGCAGAAGGGAGGGGTTTTTGAGGGAACAAATGTCACAAACAGCCTCAGTGGTGTCCTA